GCTGTTGCTACTGCTGCTGCAATTGCTATTGTGGTTTTGTTGCTTTTGTTGAATTTATATAATACACAAATGTTATAGAATTAAAGAAGCCAGCCTAGAAATGTAATACTTTTAATTGCATGGAAATTCATCCAAGATTTTTCAACAAGTTATGGGATTCTAACATGCTCTAACAAATCATCTTTAATTTTTTATGTGTATTTTTTAATCCCCCTCCTCTCCAGAATCTTTGTTTATTCCCCCCTACCATCCCTAGATCCCTTGACCCTGTCACTCTCTCCCCCTTAACCTTAGAACCATTACTTTGCTTATTAGTGTGTGCTATAGTTATAAGGATTATGCTTTGTCAAATTGCTATGCCAACAGCGAATATTTGATTTATTGTTGTGACTTTGTTTTACTACACATCAAACCCTTTGTACTTTTCGACAAATGGTAACACTTCAACTTTCCTTATGCCTGAACGGAATTCCATTATGTAATAATGCTGCATTGTCTTGAGCCCAGCCTCTATCAGTGGGCACACAGGTTGTTTCCATATTCTAGCTACCATATATAATTAGTATATCATCCTTCAGTAAACATTGTGGAATATGTGTTTGTTTTTTTTTTGGTTGATTTCATATTCTTTGAATAGATGTCCAAAGGAGATTGTGACACTCATATTACATATGAGTGAAATTATGCTATATTTCTTTCTTCTGCTAATTTTGCTTCATATAATACCCTCCAGCACTATCTGTATCATTGCAAATGGCAAGATTTTCATCTTTTTTAATAAATGAGTAGTAGATCATTGTGTATTATATATATACACCACATCTTCTTTATTCACTCATGTTTCTGGGTACTTAGATTATTTGTACAATTGACTCATATAAGTAGTATTAAAATGAACACAGGGAGGCACATATACCTTCAAATTAGTGTTTTTTTGTATTCTTAGGGTAGATAACTAGTAAGAGTGGAACATAATGTAGGTCTATTTTTAATATTTTGACAAACCATCACACTGTTTTCCATAAGTGGTTAGACCATTCTGCATTCCTACCTACAGTATACAAGATTTCCTTTCCACAATCTTGGGAACACTTGTTGTTTCTGATCTTTTTGATATGGCCCATTCTCACAGATGTTAGGTAGTAGCTCATCATGGTCTTGATTTACGGTTCCCTGATGATAGTGATGATGAGCATTTCTTCATGTGCCTGTTAGCCATCTGAATGTCTTTGGAAAAATTTTTATTTAAGCTCTTCTACCCATTTTTTTTCTTTTTGTTGAGTTGTAGAATTTCTTTGTGTATCTAGATATTAAGCCCTCGTTTGATAGATGATATATATTTATCTTCTCCCATTCAGTAGGATGGCTTTTCTTTTTAATGATAGTTTCATCAATGTGAGAACCCTTTAATGTGATGCAGTTTCATTTGTTATTGCTTTTGTTCCCCTTGCTGTTGTAGCCAAGTGATTTGCTATGTTTTATTCTATGTATTTTATGTGTTCATCTTGTATCTACGTCTTGGTCAATTTTGAGTTAATATTTGTACAAGGTGTGAGATAGTAGTCTACTATCATTCTTTTGCATTTGGCTATTGACTTTCAAACATTATACTTGAAGAGATCCTTTCTCAACTGTATATTCTTGGTTCTTTTGTTGAAGTTAAACTGTTCTGATAAGTGTGAGTTTATTTCAGCATTCTCAAATCAATTCCATTGTTCTCTGTGTCTATTTTTAATTCAGTACCACAACTTATATTATAGTTGGAAGTTCCTGGTGAATATTCCTGACTCCTTTTATATAAATAAATTAACCTTATGTGAGTGGGTTTATTTCTGGGCACAATAAACGTAACTTAAGCTCTGTTTTGAAAGTGCATTTTGATTGTTTCAAAACTGGCCCTAATTTCAAGTTTGAAAAATTATGAAGTGAGATCTTAAAATCAAAAACTAATGGTCATCATCATTTAAAAATCAATGTTTTCTTGTTGACTTTCACTAGATCACACTGTGTTGAGTCCTGAAGATGAGAGAAGTAGCTGACACAGTCTAAGCACCTGGAACAGCAGAAGGTGTAAGCTTCCTTGAGTTCAGGTAAATCAGGGAGGGGATCAGAGAAGAATGGTTTTGTAATTCATGTAGGGGAACATAACTTCAGGGAGAGCCCTCACAAAAAAAAAAAAAAACGTATCTTTCTCTTATTCCTGGAAAATTCTATAGGAAACTGATTCAATATGCCAAATAAAAAGGTAAAAAAAAAAAAAAACTAGTTGTAATGAATATGCTCACAATTTAGTAATCAAGCACCATTCCGCTCTTCCTAACTAGGTCTGGATTATCTATAGGCTGTGATTACTAGTGAGAGAGATGCGGTGAATTTGCCAATACGAATTTTCATTCATTCAAAAAACATTGAGTGCCTACAAGTGTGCCGCCAAGGTGTTAAGCGGCAAAGCAAGGGTTGTTTTTTTGTTTTTTTTTTAAACCTGGACCCCAAGCAAAACGTTCCTTAGAAGCTCAGAGTGTGCTTTAGGGATAGACCATCTCAGTCCCTCCTGATCTTCAGAGACTGGTCCTCAAAGTAAAGTTTGAATTGCAGAAGACTAACTACCCTAGCACCCTCCAGGTGCAGAACCTGATTCCTGAGCCACAGCGCCTACCCGTGGTCCGTGGTTTGCATCACCAAAGAGCTGAGTGACAAATGAAGATTGACGATGAAGGATTAAGGCACACTTGGCATCCAGGGATAGAGTTCTGAACCCATAGAGCGACATGGCAAGTAACTGCCTTTGGGAATGGTGATGACTTAACCCCTTTTTCAGTCATTACCACACTGGGAAAAGCTGGGGATCGCTCATCAGGAAAATGCAATCCACAGATACACATACTTAAAATGACCTCACAAAGTTTATATGTTAGAAAGCTCAAGTCTTGGGAAAAAGAAGGATTTCTGCACAAGCACTTGGCAGCTGAGAGTAGAGAGTCACCTACCACCACTCAAGAGGCAGCGCCATGGAAACACAGCATCCGCGATGCCGAGTTTATCAATGCACCTGCACCTCCAGGTGGAGAGCCTCGCCCAGGGCTCCACCCAAACTACTGAGCTCCAAAATCCTGGCGGGGGTCTAGGTAGCAGCTGGGGCTTGAACGCAGAAGGGTGCATGGAGCCCGGGTTTGGCGATCGTGAGCTCGGTCTTATTCCCCGCGCCTTTCACTGCTCTGCCTGACAGGAACCCGTGTCCCAAAGACCAGTCTTCCATTCCCAGCTTTCCCCACCCCGCTCCCTGTCCGCCCTGGGGAGAGAAAGTTTCAGAGGGTGGGGTTCCCACTCTTGAGATTTGATTCCTTTGTGGCAGTGTCGCCAGAGGATTTACGGAACAACGTTTAGTAAGGGCATCATGGAAATTACCTGTCCAGAGCAGGAAGCTTACCTACCAGAAGGGGGGAAAAATCTGACGCGAGGGGGGTTTGTTGTAGGAAATGCTGAGGTTTCTAGGGTGGAGGATTGGGGTGAGGACCCACAGTTGCCTCACTCTCTGAGCACCCACAGTTGATTTCTGCTCTGTCTCGGTTTATCGTCTGGCTGGGGTCCTTAATGGCCGCCCATGCGCCCTGTTGCCGCCACTGTTTGCCGCGCTGGGATGTTCATTACTGTTGACTGCCGATCTAGCGCTGTGAGCTCACCCCAATATCCTGGGCACAGACAGGTCTTTTTAGATTTAACCCGCTTCTGGCAAGAAGTGAGCACATCGGACCTTCCAGGAGGGTTGGAAGTGGTGGCTTCCTGAGGGATCCAGGGACACGGTGTGCCGAGAGAGGTGCAGCTTAACTGGGTGTTAGGCGGGGCATGCTTTTCTCCCGCAGGTAGAGGTGACCAGGTCATTGATGCGTGCAGGTGATCACACCAGCAACTCGGGCAAAAGTTCAGGGTTCTTTTGGGACTGAATCCCCGGGGATACTCCCTGCCCGCGGTCTTTCTGTGCCTTTGGAGAATGCACCGTGTTGGTAGACAGTAATGAGCCTGTGTGTGTGTGTGTGTGTGTGTGGAAGAGCACGGTTGGCGGTGAGTGTGAACCTTAGAATCTGCAAGGACTCGGCACCCTCTCCAAAGAGGACTCAAGGGGGGGTGCGGGTGCAGACCTGGGAAAACAAGCCACTGGAAGTAAACAGCAACCGGAAGCAAGGGTAGCTGAACAAATGGCTAGGTGGGTGGCTGTATTACCAGGGATGGATGGCTGCATAAGAAGGGGGAGGGGTAGAGCTATGCCTGGAGGGGAGGGAAGCTTTGTGCTTTATACTCCTTCTTTTGGACCCTGCAGGGCACAGGTCCCTCCCTAATCACATATTGGACCACCCTGCTCCACTTGAGACTGAGGCTATTGCACAAGGTTGGGAACTGCACTGTTTGAGTGTATCCTATAGAATACCCTAGTGGGCCAGGAAGCTCCTCCAGATCTCTCACTAGCCAGGGGACAGTCCCATGCAAACCGTGACAATATCCCTTCATGTCGGTAATACCGTGTCCATTTCAAAGATGGGTATATTGACACACTCTGAGGATATTTAGCCCTAATGCGAACACCTGGATTCGTGCAGCTGGAAGGGAGTTCAGGTCTTGCTCCCTCCTCCACCTCTTGCTTCCCAGCAGCCCTCCTGCTGCCTGCATCGGACACCCCACTAGGGCCAGAATCGACCCCAAAGCATTAACCCTCCAAGGGGCAGCTTAGACCTGTGGGGCCAGGACCCCTGCAGCCCTGGATCTTGCTCGCTGAAACTTCACAACTGGGAAGGAGTGCGGCGCACGTCAAAACCTGTGGAAATAGACATGTGAAATTTACCCAAAGGACAAACCCTCCAAAAGTTCCTGCTCACGAAAAGTTTATTCCCATCGGTCCCCCACAAGCCCCCTCCTTGCACAATGACCTCAATGCAAATACAAGTGCGATGGTCTTCCTGCGTGCTCCGTGCGCAAGTGGGTGACACAAGTGCTCTGCGCGGGAGCCCTTCCCTCATTGGCTGCCCGGATCTCCTGGACCACCCCAAACCCAGAGCGGCGGGAATAAGAGCTGCTGCCGGTGCTGGGAGGCTTCGGAGCCACTACCCAGCTCACAGTCGCTGCGGCTTCCAGTGACAACACAGCTGAGGCTCTCACCACCTCCACTGCGAGCTACCTGCTGCCAGGTGAGCCCTGAGATTCCTACCCTGCAATTCTAACCTATTTCTCTCTCCTTCTCTCGCCCGCTCTCTCTCTCCAGCAGTATTTCTCTAGGTTGAGCTCCTTGCCTGTTCGAGTCTCTGTCCACCTCTGTGTGGCTCTACGGGACACACCTCAGGTACGCCGCGCTCCGTCAGGGTCCTGCACAGGTAACACGGGACAGTCTCAGTGCGGGGACTCGAGCTGCGGTCTTCGCGGGCTGAGGCGGACTCTGGTCTCCACACTTCGGCTGCAGTGGGTCTTAGTCCAGTCTCGGGACCCTGGAGCCCCCCACTCGCCCCGGAGGCAGAGCGGGAGCCCCTCGCTCGCCCCGCGGGCAGAGCGGGGTGCAGGCGTAGCTCTCTGCAGACTGTGAGTTTAGGGCTCGCATCTTGGGCTAGTGGTCACGGGGAAATTCGTTTGGAACCTGGGCTAGTGCAAGTGGGTAGAATTAGGTGCCACAACTGCATATAATGGAAGTTTTTTCCCCCTAGTTTAAGTTGAGGGTCTCAACTGGAAAGTGTACTAAACTTCATTCATACAGTGCCTCTCCTGACTTGTGTAGTGCCTCAGCGCTAGAATTTCCATCTTTGGTTTCTCAGAAATTTTCCCTCGGTACTATCTGTCAGGCGTGAGTAAAAGCGCCAAACAGGGACCCAGCTCTGGGTTGCGTTAGGGGAACAACAATGTAATGCGTTGCCTGAGACTGTCTTTAATGGAGATTTGTCAACAGATACAGGGAGACAGTGTGGGGAGGGAGAGAGGAGCTGTGGACCGGGACCTCCTCCCCAGTTTCTCCCAGCTTTGTTTCTCTAGCTCTGCTAAACCATGAGCGCTACAGGTTCCCTGGATCTTCCAGCAGTGACTTCAAGGATGAGGACACAAAAGGTGAAGGAAATGACAACAGAGTTTAAGGCCAGGAAGCCAGAGACTTACAGATGGTGCAGCGCCAGAGCGCAGGTCTGTGGGCTCCTGAAGCTTTGAACTGGGGTAGGTGGTGACCTTATTCTTTCCTTGTAGAGAGGCACCATGGGCATCAGCAAGATCCTTCCCTTCCTGGTCATCGGCGTCTTGGTGCTGTACCATGCCGGCCTCCTCCAGGCAGCACCTATTGGGTAAGAAAACCCCATACCCCTCCTGATACCCCTCCTGATGCCCCTCGGATATCCCTCCTGAAGCCCCTGCGTCAAACAAGTCTATGCCCTGTTTCTGATGTGTTGAATCTTTAACAGCTGGGTTATGTTTTTAACCCATATTTAAGTCCATTTAAACATTATATGAAAAAAAATATGTTACAGCTATTTACAAGTAGAAATAAGGTAAGCAGTCTTGTTACATATCATTGCATATGAGGAATAAGATGTGCATTTTCTTTATTATAAATTTCCTATGATTCTTTGATTTTTACTGAATGATTCCATTGTTTTTTTTACCAAATATTTGTATCTGTGGGAAACCTATTAATCTAATTCAACCATAATTTGAGAAATTAATTTCATCCTTAATGCTAACCACTTGGCCAATATAGCTGTTATTAAATGTGATATGAAATCTATTCAACTAATTTTCACCCTCATGCAAATTACCTTTAAGTAAAACATCTTTTCATTTCAAACTGTTTTATCATGTAATTTTTAATAATGCCATAGCACTAAGCTCATAAGGATCCTGAAAATCTAGCAATTTTCTTTCACAAGCCTCTATAATCCAGTCCAGCACACCACTTTGTTGGGGTCACATCAGCACCTGACTCCTAGTGAAACAGCACTTTTATAACAAAATGGCATCATGTATGCCCTGTCACTGGAGCTGGGATAGCCTTATCCATAAAATTGAGGAGCTTGGTTGCTTACCCTGGAGAGAGGGTAGACATTAGCTCAGAGTTAATAATGGGTTTGCATTTCTTTTCTAGATTCGCTGCGAACAACTGCTCATCTCCCATAATTGAGGAGGAATCAGAATTCGTGCTGGTTGCTGTGGTGCAGGGCTTTGATCAGATCGATGCCAGTGAACTGGACCTGGAGAAAGAGATTGAGGGCGCCAAGTAAGACTCCCTACCCCACCCAGCATCCCTCCCTATCTCCACCTCCCGGAGCACCCTGAGCTTGGAGCACATCCTAGCCCCTGGCCTGTCCCCAGCAGTACCCAGGCAGAGGCACTTGTTGCACCTGCATCCACCCTGAGAACCTCTCTGCAGAACACGAAGCTTTAGCTCTGAGGTAGCCGGACACAGCTATGGTAGGTGGTCCCTGTAGCAAGAACAGTACACCCAGGGACAGGTAAACACCTTAGGGACAGATACTACCTCTATGTACTCCATGAGCACCTGGTGGGTTTTCTGACACCCCTGGGAATATACATCGGCGTGAAAATGGGATTTTCCCTAATGACCTATGATTTTCTGTGGTGATAATTGTGTTTAGGAGAAACATTTACTGCTAATTGTTGCCTCTCAGAACAGTAATTCTGCCCTTCCCCTTTGCAACTTCTTACTGATAGGTCTCTTTTTCTCCATCCTCTTAATCAGTGCCACTGCCGATAAGAAAGGCTGCAACACTACCGCCTGCCTGACTCGTGAGCTGCTCGACTTGCTGAGCCTGACTGATGATGTGGTGAAGAAGGATTCTGTGCCCACCAATGCGGACAACAATGCCAATGGACAGCCCCCTGAGACCGTTAAGGCCTGAACAGCAACATGACCCGGCTATCAGGTGACTGCCCCTGTGCTGGCCAGTGGAGGAGGAAGGATTGGGTTCTACAGGATCTCCACAGTCCGAACCTCCTGTGCCCATGTAGTACAAAAGGCACACAGGGTACAATACCCACTCCAGTGTCTGGGTTCATTACTCTGTTTCTCAGTTTCTCCCTGTGAAACTGAGATCATCTGCCAAAAAATATATTTTCTATTTAGACACTGTTCCCTCCAGTGAAACTCACTTCCCCCAAATCAAAGACAACTATCTACCAGCTAGTATTAATATAAAGAATAAATGAGACAGTAGATGTCAATAGTTTCATAATTAATAAGTAATTAAATTCTACATTTTTTTCCTCCTAGATCACCATGACGCTGAACTCGACTTCCTTCAATTTGACAACGACTTAGAAAAAAACAAACATGGAAAATATCCATGTATGCATGCTCCCTAATAAAAAAATCATTCTTCCTCCTTCAAAATAAATCTAAATGCATGATAAACGCATTGCAAGTGAATTTGTGTGATTCTTTTCTATACTTGACTCAGTGGTCAGTGAGTGTGACTGTGCGTCTCTCGGGTTGACCTCGAAGCAGATCTGGGGCCCCGGCAGGCAGCCGAACTCTTTGATGCTGATGGCTCTGCTTGAACCTCAGGGGGCTGGGAAATTGCTGCCGTGGGGATGAGGGGGGACACAGAGTAATACCGGACCTCGGCAGAACTCTTTAAGAAAATGCCAATATTGTCATTTTAAACTTCATCACAATAAAACAAATAATTCTGGTACACTTGAGAAAAAGTCCCTGCTGCTGTTTGTGCTGTCTGTCCCTTGAGAGCATCACGGACCTGTGAACACTTGGTTGAGCAGGTTGACTCAAAGCCGGCAAAGCCAACATAATTGGGAAGGGTTCTCTGTGTCCTGCACCTTCGGTTTCTAGGGAAACATTCCTCATTGGAATTAGGATCCCCTGCATCTCAGGGACAATATGGTCATCTCCAGAGTGCCCTTGTCCCCAACCCTAAGGATTATCTGTGCACTTCCCCTAGACCATGGTTTGCCCTTGGCTATTCCTGCCTTTCCTCCCCATAAGCAGTCCCTAGTCTGCAAAGCCCCTTAGAAACAATTGCTGAGTCTGAAATGGGATCACAGATGGGCAGACCCGGAGATTTCACAAGAGGCTCCAGTGCAACTTCTTTATTCTCTGAGGTACAGAGAAGTACCTTGATCAAGGTCCTGCAGTAAGTTTCACAGACATTTATACACTTAACAAATACTTATTGGGGGACCTCTCTGGTGGTGCAAGGGGTTAAGTCTCAGCACTATGAAGCTATCCGCAGCCACTGCAGCATGCGTTGCATCCCTGGCCAGGGAGCTACCCACATATGACGCAGCAGACCTCTTCTGTCTCACCCACTACTCCCCTCAGCAGTGTATTTCAGTACAGGTGCCTGAGCTACTCACCACTCTGTCTCTGGTGAATCCCCTCATGCCCCCACACACCTCTGGCCTACACCCCAACTCTTGAATGCATAAATAAATAAATCTTTAAAAAAAATACTTATTGTGGCCTGCTGCCAGCTAAGCACTAGTCCAGGCACTGAGAACACAGCAATGAACAGAACAGACAAATGTCCCTATATTCCATAGCTTCTAGTCTAAGTGGGGGGTATTGGGGCAATACATGCTGTGGCATCATAGACACTCAGTTTTGGAAGAAATCTGGAGGTCATAGGGTCCAAAGCTGTATTCCATGTAGGAATTTCACAGCAGCAGCATCTGCTGATCCTGCAGAGGATGAGTGGCTGACTAACTCCCAAGGTGACTGGGCATCAGTTTCACCGGTACACGAATAATTGGGGTTATTTCGTTAGAGAAGTCACCTCTTCTCCCCACTGACTATAGTTATTTTTTTAGGAGCACACAGAATTATGACCCTTGGTCCATCAGCCTGTGCAGTAACCCAACTTCACTGTAACAGGGTGATGAGACCATATATGCCTTATGCCCTAGTATGCCATTGAATCCCCATTACCCCATGGAGTAAACACTTGGGGGATTGCAATGACCTATAAGTTGAGCTTCCTTCTTTTCTCTTAACTATCCCCATTATCTGCCTGGCCTCATCTCCTACTTCTCATCCTACCTTTCTTTTCCCTTGGATTAATCTGACCAGCATGTTTTCTTTCCATGCAGTAAATAGAGCATTTGGGCTGGCTTCTTCTGTGAGAAGAATGATACCTACAACCAGGTAGGAAAGTTCGAATCAGGAAGGGAAATGCCATGAAGACGATTTTAGTCTGGGGTGCAAGGCATATGCACCAATAATTGAGCTAATGCTATGCTGAATCCCATCAGCATATTTGAATTCTCACTTGTAGCTATATCTCAATTGAGTCAGAGTCTGTCAAATGAAAGAGTGTGATTAATTTCAACCTCAAACCATGTCATATGAAGCACCATCTCGGATCTCTAAGGGTAGACATAAAGAATGCTGAAGACAGGGCCTCCTTGGTGGCACAAGAGGTTGAGAGGCAATCTATGAGGCACTCCGCAGCCACTGAAGCACAAGTTCGATCCCCGGCCAGGGAGCGACCCACATGGCACAGCAGACCTCTCCTGACTCACCTGCTGCTCCCCTCAGCAGTGTGTTTTGGTCAGTCTGCCTGTTCTGTTCCCCACTCTGTCTCTGGTGAATCCTCTCACCCCCCACACCTCTGGCCTGTACCCCTGTTCTTATATGTATAAATAAACAAATCTTTAAAAAAAAATTGCTGAAGACACTCAAAACACAATGTAGAGACAGAAAGACTTTTGGCTCAGCTGTAGCTTCACTCTTTACCACTCACAACCATGGGTTATAGCAGGAAAAAAAATTCTTTAAACTCCCAACTAAGGCTCACTCTAAATTCTCTCTAGATAGATAGATAGATAATGTACGTATCTATACACATACAGAAAATCTACACAATCATGTGTAAGGATGATAATCATCAGATTCATAAGTTCAGATTCAAAGAGTGACTAATGTTGAAGAAAGGAGACGTCATGAAGAGGGACACACAGGTGACTTCTACCAAGATTTTTGTCTCCTAGGTTTTATTTTCTAAATGAGTAGATAGTACATAGGGGTATTTGATATACTCATGTTTACCAGAAATAACTGCATGTAAATATAGGGGTTTTTTTTAAGACAATAACCATACAACTTTGAAAAGAATGCACAGCTTTTAAACTAGCAAAAGAGAATCTATCTAGTCAATGGAAAGTAGGAAAAATCACAAAAATCCATTAGGAAATGTGCCATGTGGAAAAGGTAACACAAGCAATGCTTACATAGCCTTAAAATCATTGTATATTAGTTAAAATAACCAAGTAAAGGGGAAAAGTAAAAGAAAAATAAAGATGAAAGCAATCTGATTGCACTTTAAAAAAGATCCAGCAATTTCTTTCGTACATGAGGAACATTAAAAACAAAAGGATTCAAAATGAATCAAAGTAGAGGGGTAGTAAAAGATACACAGGACAAAAATGAGCAAAATTGACACAGCTTTTTTTTTTTTTTAAGATTTATTTATTTTATGCATACAAGAACTGGGGTACAGGCCAGAGATGTGGGAGGATGAGAGGACTCACCAAAGACAGAGTGGGGAACAGAACAGGTAGACTGACCAAAACACACTGCTGAGGGGAGCAGCGGGCGAGACAGGAGAGGTCTGCTGTGCCATGTGGGTTCTCCCTGGCTGGCCGGGGATCGTATTCATACTGCAGAGGCTGCAGATTGCTTCATAGTGCAGTGCTTAACCCCTTGCGCTGTCAGGGAGGCTCTGACACAGCTTCTTAAGGTCAAAATAGAATTCATGTCATGAAATACTTTATGGAAATGGAAAAGAAGATGTGTACTCAAAAATGGAATAATGGAGAACAAAGAAATACATTTATCCTAAATGCACATGGACCCAACAACATGGCCTCAAATTATGTAAAATAACTAACAGAACCACAGGGAAAATACATAAATCAAGAATTGTTGTTGATCAATCACTCCCCCATTGCATGATTCCAAGTAACCATATTTTATTAGTGCTCAGATGTCTGTTTATCCCAATATCAAATAATAATTAATAAATGAACAAATCCTGCATTGATTTTCAACACCATCCTATGATAGGCTATTCTTCTGGATTTTTTTTTCTTAGCTATTGTTAGGTCTATGTACCAGTAACAATATTTAATAAATATTGTAAGGTAATATTGTAAATATTGTAAGGTATTATAAGGTAAAAGCACCTTTACATTGCTCTTTTTCAAAATACTATTGACAATTTTCACACATTTGTTTTCCAGACATAAGTTAGGATAATTGTCAATTTCTATTTGCATTGATAATCAGACAATGGTATCATGTATAAATAATAGTAATGATTTTCATATTTCTGTTCTTAAACCAACTGGAACTTCTTGAACAATGGTGAGATAAAAATGATGATAGCAGGCATTTTTGATGACAAAGGCTGCTAATTTCAGAAGGAGATTCTTTATCATCTTAAGAAAGCATCTTTTGTCTTACGTGTACTAAGAGACTTTTTAAATCATAAATGAATTTGAAAGTTTATCAAAATATCTTTTGATATTTAACAAAATTGTCTCATGGTTTTTCTCCTTTGACCTATGAGTGATAAATTTTCAAATACAGAAACTGGCAATAGTACTTTTGAGTACTTAGTACTGCTAGGCACTGTAATCAGGGTTTTACAAAGAGAAACTCATTTCATCTTTACAATAACTGTATTAAGTACATACTATCATAAGCTTCATTTTACGGGAAAGGGAACTGAGGCACAGAGAGATTAAATAAATTGACCAGTCATACACCTATTAGATCCATCTCAACATGCAAATCTGATCCTACCTCCACAGCTCTAACTCTGCTCTCTTAAATCACTATTTACCTTCTTGCTAAATTTACCTGGCCAGAGGATTGGTATCAAAATATACTTTCAGATTTAATTTGCTAATGATTTTTTGGGGATTTTTACTACCTTTGTTAAGTTTAGTGTTAGGGCTTTGCCAGGGTTATCAAGGAAGTTGGAAACTCTATGTGGCTTAACCTTGATGAAATTCACATGCAACCTTCTCACAGACCGTTTCATATAGTTCTCAGTGTGTTTTTCAATTTCTACCATGATTATTCTATTCTATTATTCTGTTTATTTTATTCTAGCTATTCTTGTATATTTCTAAAATTTTTAAATTATTTTAGTTTTTTACTTATAATTTTCTTATTGTGGATAATAGTTGGTTGCAGTTAGTTTCTGCAATACCCACATTCGATCTGGCTCTGAAGTTTATTTAAAAAAAATAACTTGAGATTGACATTTTAATTTCAAACTAAGCCTTAAGCTTACATAAATTCAAAAATGGTTGGGATCTCAGTTATAAAGCTTTAATATTTTAGTTATGGTCAATAGAAGTTGCATCCTGTCAAAATAATGTTAAACTA